AATTTATTAAAATCAATACAACTTAAAGATACCATATTTGTTCTGCTTTTAACTCCTAAAATGTACCCCTCATATTTATCAACTTCTGAAAAAAGATCTAGATTCATATCACAAGTCTCCAAGGATCACCCTCAGCCTGACTAAAACCGTCCCAAGAACCTCAGACTCTTATGCTCTGGGCAGTACTCCTCTCTCCGGTGCTAAGTTAGAATGAACATGATAATAAAGGATAGTGACATAGGTTGGGCGTGGTGGTTGTCAGCACTTTGGGAGGCTGAGGCAGGAGGATTGCTTGAGGCCAGGAGTTCGAGACCAGTCTGGGCAACACATCAAGACCTCATCTCTACAAAAAAGTTTTTAAAAAATCAGCCGGGGGCTGGGCGCAGTGACTCAAGCCTATAATCACAGCACTTCAGAAGGCCAAGGTGAAGGGATTGCCTGAGCCCATGGGTTCTAGAACAGCCCAGGCAACTTGGCGAGACTTCATCTCTACAGTAAATAAAAAATTAGCCAGGCAAGGTAGTGCGTGCCTGTAATTCCAGCTACTTGGAAGGCTAAGGTGGAAGGATCGCCTGAGCCCAGCAGGTGGATGCTGGAGTGGCCATGACTGTGCCACTGTACTCCAGCCTGGGAAACAGAGTAAGACTCCAACTCAAAAAAAAAAAAAAATTAGCCAGGTGTAGTGACCCAAGTGTGACAGAGTGCGACTCCAACTCAAAAGTAAATAAGTAAATAAATAAATAAATAAGAGCCAGCACTTTGGGAGACTGAGGTGAGAAAATTGCCTGGGCCCAGGAGTTTAAGACCAGCCTCAGAAAAATGACAAAACCCTGTTTCTACAAGAAACCAAAAATTAGCTGGGCATGGTGGCACATGCCTATAGTCCCAGCTACTTGGAAGGCTGGGGAAAAGGATCACCTGAACCCAGCAAGCTAGTGACATAGAACCAGGAAGTTTTATACTGGATACTGGCAGCAAAAACTGTCTCTCAAGTACTTATTCGAATGGTTGTCACTTCTCTAGCCCAGGGGCTCTCAACAAGTGGTCCTGGAAACTGTAGCAAGAGTGTCACCAGGGAACTTGTGAGAAATGCAAATTCACAGCCCCACCCCACATCGATTGAATCAGAAACTCTGGGAATGGGGCCCAGCAATTTGTGCTTTAACAAGCGCTACAGGAGATTATGGTGTACTCTAAAGTTTGGGAACCAGTCTTCCTCAAACTTTAATGTGCATACGAATCACCAGGGGAGCTTGTTAAAATGCTGATTCTAATTCAGCAGGTCTGAGGTGGGGCCTGACAGCCTACATTTCTAACAAGTTCCCAGGTGATGTCCTCTGCAGACCACATTGCAAGTTTCCCACATCGGTTGTTTACTGCAATTAACCAGGTTGCTCATAAAATACGGATTCCAAGGCACCACCCCAGAACAAATTAATCCAAATCTCCAGAGAAAGACCTAGTAGAATATAACCAGTGGTATGCCACCTCAGCTGCCCATTAATATCACCTGGAGAGCTTTTATTAATCCTTATTCCCAGGCCCCATCCAAGACCAATTAAATCAGAATCTCTGGGGCTGAGACTAAGGTATCCATATTTTAATAACTTCCCAGTGATTCCAATATGCCAAGGCTGAGAACGACTGCTTTGTAGTCTAACTGGTTGAACACCTGGCACAGTGGATCTGTTTATAGTAGCAAACAGGTTCCTATAAAATAAAACTGGGCTCCCTGACCTATAAATCCAAAAGCTCTGATTTTGAATATTAAAATGCACCTACAGTTATGTCCTCTTTATTTCTTAGACCATAATTCTGTGGACAAATCTGCCTGTCCAATGTCGTCTGCAATGGGGTAGGTATTCAAAAAACAGAAGCAAGAGTGAAGAATTTGTGTCCATACAGCCTGTTTATATACTGCCATAGCCCCAGCCTTGAAACACATCAGTCACTTGAAATTTCTCAGCCAGACTCGGTGGCTCAGCCTGTAATCCCGCGCTTTGGGAGGCTGAGGTGAGTGAATTGCCTGAGCCCGTGGGTTCGAGACCCGCCTGGGCAACTTGGCGAGACCTCATCTCCACAATAAATCAAAAATTAGCCGGGTGTGGTAGCGTGCGCCTGTAGTTCCAGTTACTTGTAAGGCTGAAGCAGAAGGATCTCCCGAGCCCAGTAGGTCGAGGCTGTGGTGGCCGGGAGCGTGCCACTGCACTCCAGTCTGGGTGACAGAGTGAGACTCCAATACAAAAAAAAAATTCTAATAACCTTTCAGAGGGGAAGGGTAACTGATGGATCTAGAACTTCTGAACCTATAAAAGGTAGATTTCATCAGTTACAGACATTCTGAGAGAAAGCTACTGGGAAGGGATGAAAATTGTGTTTTTACATTTGAGAATTTGAAATTGTCAAAAACACATTTTCTGATGGAGACAGGACCTGAAACACACTGCTCATGACATGACGCTAATAACTCTGAGGGAAAAAAAAAATCTCAATGTCTATTTATGTCTTACAGCACCTAGCACAATGCTGCACTAATAAGTGCACAATATTAAATATGTAAAACAGAAATAAAAATGTGCAGTGGTTACTAGGTACTGTGAAATTATTAGTTATGTCCCTTCTATAAACAAGAAGTTTTACTGAATTTTCCACAGTACACCTCAAAAATGACTTTAAGATAAATGGAAATAAGACATAGTTCTCTTTCCACTTAAGTGCACTTTCATTCTCCACTTGCTCATGTTCAGTGTCTACTCTAAATCAGGTGTTTTATAGAATACATGACACATTCAAGGCCTGTTAAATGGGATAATAGTTATTATTCTACTATCGTTTCAACATATCCTTAGTGATCAAAAGTGTGTCTTATTCATCTGTTTAATTCCATGAAAAAGAAATCCAGCAGTTGGAGTATTAGAACAATACCTAAATGTGTGTGCAAAGTAGCTACTGTTAAAATGACATTTTCAAAAGCATTTTCTGTATGAACTGGTCAATCTCACTTTCCTTTTAAAATTCGTGTTATAGTCATTGAGTTAACCCAAACTCACTTTAAAATGTGTGAAAATAGCACCTCCTGAAAGTGTGTTCTCATATGGTTTGGAGCAATGGAGCGTGAATACTAAAACAGCCTTTGCCAAACTCGTGTAACAGCTAAAAAACTAAACAGGAGTGAATTTTTGCAGTCCCATGACTTTGCAGAGCCAACCTAAGTATCATCCCAGGACTAGCATTAATACATCACAGACATCTAAGAGAAGGCAGAAAAGTCACAAATAAGTGACTCAAGCTAATAACTACTGCATAGATTTCTTACATGGCAGTCTTTTCAAAATGAATTTTACTTCTTAACCAAAAAGTAAATTGACTAAGGAAAGGTATGGACTTAGAATTTTAAGTTCCTAGAATATACACTATGAAAGTTAAAAAGACATTTAATTTATGTGACAAAGTGTTTGCCTGGATGCTCTTTCATGCATTTCTCATGAACCAATACCCAAAGATGAACCAAGTCTTTAAAAAATGCACAGACCACAGAAGAGTCATACAAAATTAAAGACATTTAAAATATCAAAGCCAAAGAAAACAAACAGTACAAACGCACAATTTCCAGGACACTTTTATTGTAATTTCCACTTTACATATTAATTTAATATTTTTAGTTTAAGTCGAAGTGTTTATACTTATCTAGTAGCAGTCCAATCCCTTAATTTCACAAAATGAAAAGCAGCAGCTTAAAAAGCACATCAATTCAGGTATTTATGATAGGGAGGACAAGGGGCACTTGTCTTTAAAAAATTGATGCCTTTCACTACGAGTTTCACTGAAATTTTTCTATATTATTTTTCTTGTTAATGCTAAGTACCCATAATAAAAGCAATTGCCCTTTTTCTCATTCTGCCTTCTCTTGGTCTTTACATTCTGTCTAGCATTTAACTTAAAAAGTCAGTTTACATTCAGTTTACACATTTAAAAAAAACCATATGCCTCATCTCCCACACATCCAAACGGGCGGGGATTAGAATCAACCCGGCTTTTAGTTGTAACAATGCTTATTTTAAACAATTTCAACCACATGCTCCAAGGGTAAAATAATTAAAAGTATAAAACCAAAAGAAACCATGAAAATTCCTACACCTTTACTGTTGGCTTGTTTAAGCATTTCTCAAATCGTCGAGTATAACATAGATTTCTTAAAGTGAAATCAACACAAAAGCGAATGCACACTTAATGTACAAATTGACAGTGGCTCTGTGGGGACAGCTCTCTTTGAATGAGCTGTTACCCAGACGGTGAAATGAAGAGGGAAAAAAAAAAGGTCTCTCTTCAAACGTGAAGCTGGCAGTGCGCTCGCTTCACTAGAAACACATTTTAATGGGTATGTTCGAATAAAAATAGGTACTAAAGAAAAAGGTGTTTTTAAAAAGCTCCCCCTTCCCCAGGGCACAAGGAAACCCGGAGGAAAAGATGGGTAACCCTTCTCCCAAGCTCCACAGCTAAGTTCCATCCCTAGCAGAACAGAAGTTGGATAGTTATTTTTCACCCTGCAATGGGATAGTAGCTCTCCATGTGCAAGGTACGCGGGGCGGGAATACGCAGGGCTTTCACTTAGGGTAATGGAAACCAAAGTGAGGACAGGTCGACACCTTGAGTAATCCACATCTCATAACCCGGACAGGACAGGATGGGAGGTAGTGGGGGTGGCGAGAGAGAGGAGGAAAGGGTCAAAACTCCTCGAAGTTACTGCAAAGCGAAAGCGAACATCTCCAGGAGCCACGGGGCCACCATCCCTTGGAGCAGCACCCTGCTCCAAGTGTGGGGTGCCTGCCTCCGAGGGCAGAAATCGCTGGGTGCCCTTACTTAGGTCGAGTGGCTCTAGGGACCCGGGCAGCGAGAGGGGTAGGGGCAGCCGCCGGCAGGGAGGCGGACTCGCACTTTGCCTCAACTCTGAGTCCCATCCCGAGTACAAGGAAGAGGGCGGCGGAGGGCACGGTACTCACTAGGGCTCGTTGGTGAACCGGGGGGTCCGGGGCTGCTGGTATCCGTACAGGTGACAGTAGAGCACATCGAAGCAAAAGCAGCACATCTCCGCTGACACCACCATCTTCCGGGAGCTGGGCGATGAGGACGAGGCAGCGGACGACGAGGAGGGCGAGGAAGAGGTTGCGGCGGCCGGGGTGGGAAGTAGGGTCCCCACTCC